TAGGGTATAGGGTTTAGGGTTTATGAAACAAGAATCGAAGCATCTTGCTCGCATGCTTGATGGCCTACCAAGTCTCCGGTTGAGCTTTGACGGTCGCCCTCTACATCCCCCCGAAACCCGGAATCCTAAACTCTCAGCACCTAAACCCCTAAAACAAGGCACTAAACCCCGTATATTATACTACCCTTACCGATCCCGCATAATAGTAATGTAGGGGCCTTAACAATNNAATTAGAATAGGGTTTTGGGCCTTGGGGTACATTATACTATAACTCTAACAAGGAACCCCCAAAATAGTATTGGTAACCATTTAGACCTGGACCCCTATGTTAACCCTCAGCCCTAGAACTCCATGAACCTGCCCTAGAACCCTACACCCCTAAACCCTAAACCCTAAACCCCTAAACCCCTAAACCCCTAAACCCTCAACCGTCAACCCCTAAACCCCTAAACCCCTAAACCCCTAAACCCTAAACCCTAAACCCTCAACCTAAACCCCTAAACCCCCAAACCCCTTGGAGGGCACTCCTCGGCTTCGTACGCCTCAGCCATGAGCCGGAACCCAGGGTTCTTGTGCCTGCGGAGGGAAACTCTCGAGTTGCGGTTTAGGGTGTAGGGTTCAGGGAATACCTAGACCCCAAACCCTAAACCCTNNGGGCAGGGCAGGGCAGGGGGCAGGGCAGGGCAGGGCAGGGCAGGGCAGCAGGGTAGGGCAGGGGGCAGGGCAGGGCAGGGCAAAACCCTAAACCCTAAACCCTAAACCGTAAACCCTGAACCCTAAACCCTAAACCCTAAACAAACCGTAGTAGTAGTAGTAGTAGTAGTAAAAGAACCTACCTTTTAAAGGACTTATATAAGGAAGTCATAACAGGGAACCCTAAAACTGCAGGTTTTTTAGAGTTTAGGGTTTAGGGTTCGCCAGCGCGGCGAGGCGCCCAAGACAACTCCGTTGTTAGAGGGTCTGCCGACTCGTAAATTCGGCTGGCTTGTTCCAAAGGTTCGTTATCTTCTGATTCCGATCAGATTCCCGGCCAGATTTCTGCAGATTTGAAAGTTTCTGGCCGGCCTGATTTCTGCAAACCGTGGAGTTTAGGGCCAGATCTGGCAGATGTCGCAGTTGCCTGCATGAATCTGGCAACAATCGGTTTTGCCGTTTCCGGCCTTTGGCAGTATGCCTGCCACATTTGGCAATTTGCGGGAAGATTTTGAATTGGAGTGTTTTGTGGATTTCGGGCCAGATTTTGGCACAATTTGCTGTTTCCTGCCATTCCTGCGGATTGCGCAGTTCCGGCCGGATTGTGGCCGACTAAAGGTTGAAGCAAATGGCTTTCGAATTGCAGGTAACTTTCTCATGATGCTAGAAACCACAAGATTCTGCGCTTGCACACAAGGGTTAGGGGCTTATGATCAGGACTCGGAACTACCCGAGGCACTTTCGGCGGCAGTGTGTGGGGATCCAGCCGCATGACACGACAAGGAAAGCTCTAAAGCAACGTCAGCTTCACGTAAACCCTAAACCCTACACCCTAAACCCTAAACCCTAAACCCTAAACCCTAAAAAACCCTAAACCAAAAGCTCAACTGAACTGCGGCAGCTTTCACTCGGCCCTTGGGCCTGAGGGTGTTGTCACAGAGCCAGGCCACACGAGTGGCAGCTTTCATGAAGTCCGGGTTGAAGGTGCCATTGATGGTGAACCCCGCTGAGAGGCAGCCTCTGCTAGTGAGGCTCCCCGGCTGACTTCGATAGACTGCAGGGTTTAGGGTTTAGGGTTTAGGGCATCAAAACCAAGGAGCCGTGTGGGTGGAAGCCGAAGAAGCTCTTGGTAGGCCGGATGTCGTCCAAGGCACCCCGGAGGGCCGTCTCAGCATAGAAGTCCTGGAACAGAAAAAACGTTTGAGACACGTGGTCTTGTGGCAATGCAGACCACAACTACAAGAATCACACCCTTTCGTGCCTTCGCCCAGGTGCTGACATAATTGAAGAGCCAGGGCCTTCTAGCAATTTTTCCTGGGCCGGTTTCCGACGATTTTTGACATCTACAGCAGGAGACCAGCTCTGAAAGCATCTAGGCGGCCTGATCGTGTGACTAGCCAAGTCAGGAACGAGGCAAAGATCGCAGCAGCCATTGCCTTTGTGGTTCTGTTTATGGGATAACCCCCCTTAACCCTAAACCCCTCAACCCCAAACCCCTGACGCCTAGACCCTAGACCCCAAACCCTAAACCCATCTTTCAGAGCCATCTTTAGAGCCATCGCCTTCTGCTGGGCTAGCCCCGCCACATCTTCAGCCGCGGCACGATTCTGTCACCGGATCGGTAGGCCATGCACAGGACGAAGACGCACAGAGCCTTGCAAATCCCACTCTGCAAGTTTCTCGCTCTGGGTCCCAGGTCCTGGGTGGGCCTCCCAGCTGAAACAACAGGAAGATTCCAACCAAGAAGCGGGTCGCGCGGACTTCGGTCCAGCCAGGAGCACTGCAGCGACTCCTCAGCAACTCACGTGGCACCAGGACTTAGCCCTTCAGCATATGTCGTTGCCGTCACTTTCTTGTCCAGTATCCTTGAAGAACTAAAGGTTACCCTGTGGGATGGTATAGAGATCATAGTACCCCAAAAAGGTTAAAGGCTACCAACTTGCCAACTCTACTACTAGGTTCACCAGTTTGGCCGAGTGGCCCAAGTTGGCAAGGAGGCCTGCAACTCCGAACGGAGCGCCAGCGATGAGCAGGGAGCCAAGCAGCAGCCCTGCCACGGCGCTAGCCACAAAACCCGTAAGACCTAGAAGCCCGAAAACACTCTGATTATAGGAGGGTCTGCTTTGCCCGCGGAGAACATACTGTGGCCAGAGGAGTTGTTTCGACGGCGAAAGAACAAAGTCTGGTCAGGGGAGCTCGTCCCTCAGGGGGAGAGGCTAAGGTTGGCAGCAAAATCTTGTCGGGTGACCAAAGGAACTCCTGTCATCGTTTGCGACTATCGCCCGCGGAAAGCTAGCCTTCTGCTGAAACTAAAAACCTCTTGGGTTGCTCCCCCAGTCTGCAAGTCCTATCAGAATTCCCTCCGGCCTGGGGGCAAGACCCAAGCAGGGACTATGATGAGATGGGCAAGGAGTCCCTTTGTCCATGACTTCACCTCGGGCGCAAGTTTTGAATGCACCTGTCCCTGACAAGTGGGAACACGTGTTCCGACCTAGACCCTGTGTATGCAGTTGATCTCATGTCGCCTGGTCTGCCAAGCTCCTGTGCCTCCACACGAGGCAGTGCCTGCACTTTTCTGCGATCTCTCAGGAAACTTCGACGGGAGAACTTACAGAAATCTTCATCGCAAGGGTCGGCGAGCGGGGGCGCTTATTGCTGGCATGGCCCTTCGCACTTGCCGGCAATGCGACTTTCCTACAGAAGCATTCAAAAGGCTCTGGCTCTAGCTAGCTGTTCGACTGGCCGACGAAACATTCCTGGAAATGGCGTGCACTCAGAATTTTCTGCACGGCCTGACGATGTCCAGTGGCACTGAACCCAAAACCCTGAAGCTGACATGTTAAACAACCCTAAACCCTAAACCCTAAACCCAACCCAAAACCCTGAAGCTTACAAGTTAAAGTCTCAGCGAGCCAAAGACAGCGCAAGCAGCATAACTCCGGAGGTATCCTTCCAGAAGCGGCTCGGAGACCAGCCCCAGCGAAACAAAGCATTGAAGACGATTTTTTCTGGTTTGGGGTTCAGATCTAGGGTTTGGGGTTTAGGGCTTAGGGTGTAGGGTTTAGGGCTTAGGGTTCAGGGTTTAGGGCTTTAGTGTGAGGGTTTGGGGTTTGAGAACTTCAGCTCCGCTGCGTCTGCTCGAATACCTATAGGCGCCTTTGTAGTCCCCATAAAAGGAACTAGATTGGAGACAATAGGTAAGGTCTAAGTGTGTTCACCGCAGGTATCACTCGGGGGAGGTCGAGATCCGCTGCCAGATCTGTCTGCGCATCTCTGGACAAGTCCCTGCTTGCAGAGACTTCCATTTAAAATAAGAAGTCATAGGCAACCTATCAAGATAATATAGGGGCCTTAATAATTAAAATAGGGTTTGGGGGGGTATATTCTACTATAATGATAATAATAATAATAATGAACCCCCCAAACCCCATTCTGATTTCTTAAGGCCCCTACCTTATATGGAGTCGAAAGCTTGTAGTGCTCCCGACTTTAGGGAGTTCCACGTGGGGACCCCCTCTCGGCTCACGGCTTTACAGTATTTCCAGCTGCGCATCAGGGTAACCAGCCTCTGCCTGCAACTGAGGGCACAAAAACAGGGTTTAGGGTTTAGGGTTTAGGGTTGAGGGTTGAGGGCACAAAAACAGGGTTTAGGGTTTTTTTTTTATCACCTCTTTTCCTTCGCCTGATAAGGTGTCCGGAATACCATTGGGTTTAAGGGTTTAGGGTTGATAATAGAGGGCTGCTGAGGGCACAAAAACCCTTTGCCATGAATCTCTGTGTGCGTGTCTGCACGACACTGATAATGTAGGGGCCTTAAGAATCAGAATAGGGTTTGGGGGCCCATTTTGCTATAGTTATAATAAGGAGCCTCCAAGACAGTATTGGTAGGATAGTAGGTCTGCCTTGTTCTCGTCGAAGAGCTTCTGCAAGCCTTCCATGTACACCTCACGAGATGCTAGCTGTGGACTACGGCAGCCCGATGAGTGTCAACCGGCAAGTCCTTCGACAACTGGGTCCTTGTTGGCTACCATTCTATTTTTTTGTTATAATGAAACCCAATAAGGATTAAAACTGAAGTTTTTTTGAAAAAGCCCCAACAGGGATCCAGAAAAGCCATGCCTTGTGCCAGTGGTCCACGTCCTCGTTGGAGGGTGATGGGATCTGCGGCAGGTCGATTCCGGGTCCCACCTTCCATGAAGCTCAGAGGCTGTGGATCTGGGCTTACTAGGGTTTGGGGTTTAGGGTTTAGGGTTTAGGGCTTACTAGCCTCAAGGCCTAAAGGTAAGAAGTAGTCTTCTTTGCAAGCAAGCAGCGTAAGTAATGATCCTAGACTGCCATCGCGGCAAGAAGGGCAGCAAAGGCCAGCCAAAGAAGGCCACGGCAGGCACGTTGTTCTCGCCCTTGGCAGGACGTGTGGCATCTGTTGTGCTAAGAACGCACAGAGGACGCAGCGTCAGCAGCTTCAAGCAACCTTTTCCTTTGCATGCTCTTGGCACTCACGACCTTTTGGCCGTCTTTTGGAAAACCGCCAGCGGCAGCTTCAGCAGCAGCTGTTCCACAAGCGAAACACGTCTGAAATCCATTCAAGCAGACCTGGGTTCCAGGGCCCATGCGCCTAAGCGCAGGCATGATCTGTTGAAGACTCCTCGCTGGAGTATGTCCAATCCGTCCTTCCTCCCTCGAGCAGTGGAGCCACAGCAGCCACGGTCTCTTGGAGCTCCCGTAGTCTCTGCCACTTGTCAGGATCAATACCACCTTACTTCGCCAATGAGCCAGGGAAATAAAAGGTTAAACTTTCAGATTACTACTAAGTTATAAGAACCTAAAAAGTTTAAAGGTTGGGTATTGGGGAACTAAGCCACCCATGTCGAGCACTGCTATGGTGTCCGGGGGGAGGCCAGACGAGAAGTCGACAGCCGGATACATCGAAGCATCAGCAGTATAAGACCCTAAGCCCAAGACTGCCAGGCCCACCTGACAGATGCAAGTTATGAAACCTGTGATAATGCTCACGAACACTGAGTTTGGCATGACCCAGCTCTCACTTTCCAGGTCATCCCTCACCACCAGCTGCAAGACTTTCTCCAAGAGTCTCGACAGCACCATCTGCAACAGCACAAAATGTTCCATGGCGTTCACATTGGCCTGGTTTTTAATGGAATTCGTCATCAGCGGAAGCAGGCACTTGAAGCTCCACATGCCAAAAAGGGTGCTGACAGTTACGACAATTCCACAGATTTTGTCAGTCCAGGCGAAGGTGCCGCGCGTATAGGCATCAATCACCCCCACTACGGGCAGGATCACCATGAATTGCTGCAGACCGAACACGAAGAAGCGAAGATGCCACAGCTGAACCTTCTGCTTACAGCAGAGGCAGCACAGCGGTGGCTTTCCGAAGACTGCAATCGGCTCTTCCGGCAACTGCGCCACGATCTGTTTCTGGCTTCCGTTCAGGATGAAGAGCAACTCGATGATCACGTTCATCGAAAGTGCCAGCTGACATGTGCGCAACAGAGCCAGCAGCTGTGCTGCTCCTGGCAGGAACATCTGAAGCGCGGCCGTCGCGCCGAACGTCAAGGGCATGAGCAGGAGTACCATCACTCGGCCCGCCTGCGCAGCATGACGAGATTTTCTCAAAAAAAAGGTTTGACGAAGAGAGAAGCAAGCGCATGCAAGCGCGAAAAAACACGAAACGTAAAGGAAGCTCGTGGGCAGCTAAGCGTCTCGAGCACCATAGGACGAGATGAGCTCATCGTCTCCGAAGCCCTGAGCTTTTGCAGCTGCCCTGTGCCGCCGAATATTATACGCGGAAATGCCAATGGCCAGGCAAGCGCAGACGCTTCCAACAGACCAGAATCCCACCAAGCATTCAGGGGGATCCTTGAACATGTATAACGCATTGGACTGCGTGAAACCATCCGTCTTGGTAGTGGTCGCTTGCGCCATCCTCCCAACGCCCGCCCAACACCATACGGCCCGAAGGAGCCAAACGACTGCTGGCGTGGACCTGCATGCACCTTGCTACCCAGAAAATGTGATATTCCGACTATTCCGGCATCATGGCTTCCGACAAGTTAGCAATGCGGGCATTCAGCTCTAAACTTCCAACTCTAAACCCAGACAATGAAGTGCGGCTGTCCTAGCAGTCTCAGCATTGACACGTGGCCTCTGCCACGATTGTTCTACAAACGGTGACCGTCAGCCAATTGAGACTCTATCGCACTCCACGAAATGACATTTTCAATCGCTGGCATAAACTGCAGCAGAGAATTACAGCACGTTGTTGGTAAACGGCGTCTGCCAAAATTTTGCTGTTCCGGCTGACACTTTTGGCCAAGCACCGGTCAGCTTAAAGCAGCCGGACAGCGTCCTTTTGGGTTGTCCTTCCTGATGTGCAGCTAGACACACACATGCTCACTGCTATCCATGGCATCTGCCGATGAGCTTTCACTTGCTTTCGGCTTCTCCGACGGACCACGCTTGGGCAAGAGATGACCAAGAAGTAAAGGCGCAGAGGGCACAGAGCTCGACGAGGGCTTGTCTGCCTTGAACTCTTGCAACCGCACCCACCTGTCAGGATCAATCCCATCCATATCAAGCAATGCCAAAGTATCTGGCGGGAGGTCGGTGGCAAAGTTCACTGGCGGATACAGCCCTGCGCCGGCTTCGTAGGCACGGAGGCCCAGTGTTGCCAGCAAGAACTGAATAATGCACGTGAGGAAACCTGTGAGAACTTGCAGGAAGAGTGCGTTCGGCATCGTCCAGCCCTCTGCCTGCAAATCATTCTTCACAAGCAAGGGCAGGAGCTTGTCCATCAGCTTCGAAGACATCATCTGCAGCAAGAGGAACTGCTCCATGGCATCCAGCTTGCTCTGGGAAGCAGCGCTTGTCCGGATGGAATCCGTCATGAGTGGAAGCAGGCACTTGAAGCTCCACATGCCGAAGAGGGTGCTCAAAGTTACGATGATCCCACATGCCTTGTCAGTCGTGGCAAAAAGATTACTCTCGGCGTATGACTGGTTGAAGGAGTCAATCAAGCCCACCACGGGTAGGATTACCATGAATTGCTGCAAGCCAAACACGAAGAAGCGAAGATGCCACAGCTGAACCTTCTGAGCACAGCAGCCCCAGCCGAAAATGCAGCACAGCGGTGGCTTTCCGAAGACTGCAATCGGCTCTTCCGGTAAATTCGCCACGATCTGTTTCTGGCTGCCGTTCAGGATGAAGAGCAACTCGATGATCACGTTCATCGAAAGTGCCAGCTGACATGTGCGCAACAGAGCCAGAAGCTCTGCTGCTCCTGGCAGGAACATCTGAAGTGCGGCCGTCGCGGCGAACGTCAAGGGCATGAGCAGGAGCTTCATTATGCGACTTGCCTCGCAAGTGCTGACAAAGAGAATGGCAAGGAATCTCTTCAATTCCTGAAGCCTACAAAAACACAAACACTGAAGTGAAGCACGGTAACGCGTGCGCCAAAAGAAGAGATAAGCTCGTCTTGTCCGAAGCCCTGCAAGTGAGCACAAGCAGCATGCTGCTTGATGTTGTACATCGAAATACCAATAGCCAGCACTGCACAGATAGATCCCACTATCCAGAAGATGCGCAAAAGCATAGGTGGATTGTCGTAGATGTAAACTGCGGTTTCATCAGCCTTTTCATGATCCTGACTGTTGCCGGCAGCACTGGCTGCGCCGCATAAAGTCGCCAGCAACAAGACAGGGCGGAGGTTCATGGCTCTGCTGCTCTCTGACCTCTCTGCTGCACACTCGCTGCTCGAGACTGTGCCTGCGGTTGAGACGCCAGACAACACGGCTTTGTGGTGGTTGTAGCACTGGGTATGTTAATACATCTGTGGAAACAGGCTGCAATGACAGGGTAAGTCCCACACGATCTTCATGCGCAGAGACTTCATGCTGCTGAAGGTATGATACCTGCACGGGTGGCAAGCGAGTGCCCTTCGCCGTACTGTATGCCGGCATCCTGCAGCCAAGCCACGTCTCGCATTCTCCGAACGTGTAGCAGGGATGAGCGCGGTATCCGAACCTCGTAGCTCTCGCACTCACTTCTCTGCGCATCTCTCGACACCTTGAGTCGTACTCTCTTCCCTCTCACAAACGCGCAACTGACTGCAGAGAGAAACTGCAGGCAGTACTTGATGAAGCCCTTCTTGTTGCGAAGGACACAAACGTCCTCCGAAAGGCTCTCATGTACGGAAACACCAGTGGCACTTCTTTAAGGGTGGTTGTCAAAATGATGGTCCCTTTTGGGGTCCGTAATATAATACGGCACCTAATATTTAGGGTACCCAAAAAGGTACCCTAATTTTGACAACCACCTTCTTGGCATCTTAAACCCTAAACCCTAAAC